TCTCTCTCTCTCTCTCTCTCTCTCTCTCTCTCTCTCTCTCTCTCTCTCTCTCTCTCTCTCTCTCTCTCTCTCTCTCCCTCTCTGTGTGTGTGTGTCTGTCTGTGTGTTGTCTACACTGTCTCGGTGTTGTCTACTCTCTTCCTTCTGCTCCATTTGTGCTTCCAGCCTTCCAGGTGCTGGCTATCGTCTTCCCCCTTATTTAATAGTCTTCCTTTCCCGTTCGATGAACCTGGCTTTGGCTTGCGCATGCCTTTTGCCATGGATCGTGCTTACTTCGGTTTTCCATGCCATCATCAGGATCTCTCTCTCTCTCTCTCTCTCTCTCTCTCTCTCTCTCTCTCTCTCTCTCTCTCTCTCTCTCTCTCTCTCTGTTTTTCAGCCATGGTCCACATTTCCAAAGTACCATATCATGGAATCTTTCCTGTAGTTCCTGCTGTCCACCTCGCTTCTATTTTTCGGCGGATGGTCATTAACTCTTCTGTCAGTGTTTTTTGTTTTCTTGTCCCCTTTCTCTCAGGGTGTTTTTACAGTTTGTTTACACACAGTTCTTCCACTGTTCTCTTAGATTTCTGTTGTAGTTCAGTTCTTCTTCTTCTTCTTTTCTTCTTTAATTGAAATGTAGTTGGAGGCTTGGAGCAAGCGTCAAGATGATTCCTCTTGTTCATTTCTTTCGGTGTCTGTTTCAAGATTTGTGTTTTACACTTCGGATTGAGATCTCGCTGCTGCTGGAAAACTTAGTGGCTCTGTTTTCATGTACTCTACTTTTCTTCCTTCTTCTTCTCCTCTTCTTCCTTCTTCTTCCTTCTGCTTCTTCTTCTTCTTCAGCTGCTGCTGCTGCTGCTGCTAGGTGGAAGGCCTTAGGAGCGTTTCAGCCGGTAGGCTGAATCCGGAGAGAAGGGCCCTGATGAATAGCAGGTGCTTCCTGGCTGAAACGTGGCCAGCGCAATGAGCGTCTTTCTTCTTCTGAGCTCATTTTATCTGGAATCGTGGATGAGTACGGAACCTTCTGTCGAAGCGTGCACGAAAGACAAAGTCTATTCTTCAGACGAGTACGGACAAAGGCTGAACTTTCTGTCGAAACGTGCACGAACGACAGTCTATGGCTATGGTCTCTCTGTGTCTATCACTACTAATCTATTCTAAGTATTCTTCTTGAGACTCTTCTTCTTCTTCGGGTGAAAGTTAAGATTGTGGCGCAAGGCGATTTCGGTAGAAGGCACCTGAAGGAAATTTCGGTAGAAGGCCCCTGAAGGCGATTTCGGTAGAAGGCCCCTGTAGAGCAGGCTGGCACGAAACGCGTCAGGGAAAAAAATGCGATGAAGTTTCATGAAGAGAGCAGTGCATGCGGAGGAGAAGTTTCATGCAAATCTGTCGGACTGTCAATGCTTGTACGAGAAGAGCAGTCTATGGCCACTGTTTTCACTTTTTTTTTTTTGCTCTTTTCAGTCAGTTCTGAGAAGGAAGGTAGGGAGGATCGTCGGCGGGCCGCAAGGCAAGGGTTATGTGGAAACCCGCCTGAGGATGATGGGAGCGGAGCGCAGCCGATCTAAACGCGGCGGGGAATGTGCGCGTGAGCTGGGTTGAGTGCGCGGGGCTTTGTATTGAAAGATATATTCGAAGCGTGTACGAAAGGCAGTTGGCCACTGGTTGTCACTATTCTTCTTCTTCTTCTTCTTCTTCTTCTTCTTCTTCCTCCTTCTTCCATTTCTTCTTCTTCTTCTTTCTTCTTCTTCTTCTTGTTCTTGTTCTTCTTTCTTCTTCTTCCTCTTCTTTTCTCTTCTTCTTCTTCTTCTTTCGTCTTCTTCTTTCTGCGCGTTTGCAACTGAGGGAGCTGTACATGCGGAGAAGTATTGATTGAAATATGTTGTCGATGGGAGTGTGCAAGAAGCAGTCTATGGCCACTGTTTTCACTATTTGGCTTCTTCTTCTTGTGTGCATCTGGTTTCATGTTGTCGTATTCTTTTTTTTTCCTGTTTTTTTCACATTTCTTCTTCTTCTTTTCTTGTGTGCATCTGGTTTCATGTCGTCGTTTTTTTTTTTTTTTTTTTAAAATAAGAGCGCCAGTTGCTCAGCTAGGAGAGGTTTTTGCTTTCGCCGGTTTTTTTCACCCTTCGTTTTTCACCCCCTCTGGAATCACATTTTTTCTTGTTGAGCTCTGTCCTCCAGTTTCCCCAATTTTTGTTGACGGACGGCGGACCGCTAACAGTCATCCCGTTCTCTTGTTTTGCAGATTTGTCCTCCTTCCAAATCTTCTATATGCCCCCTTACTCCCTTAGGCGTTTGTCTGCGTATCCAAGCTATCTTTCCGGCCAGGTGCAGGCGAAATGAGGGTGCGTTGTGTTCGGGGGAAGACGGTAGTGGATTTCCCCCTTGACGAGCTCTCGGCTATGGATCTTGAACGAACGCGTCGGGGCCGGTGTGTGTCGCGTTTGCAACTCACTGTGCCTTTTGTTTTCTCGTTGACGGAGAGTAGTATTCCCCCTTGGGCCCTTGAGGAGAGTCTCAATGGCCCTTGAGGAGAGTCTCAAGGGCCACATTTTCTCTCCCATAACTGATTAGCTGAGATCTGGTTCTGTGCCATTTAAGTGGGCGGCGCTTCCCAGTTTTAAGAAACAGGTTACGACGAAGTGACGAGCGTTTATTTCACTACGGTAGGGGACCACCCCTCTTCCACAGAAGTATGAATTTTCAGTTTTGTTGGGTTAAATTGTTTGTCACTGGCCACCATTTAGAGCTTGCATTTTCTTGCCTCTTGAAGTTCCCCCCCCCCTCCCCCTCCCCCTCCCCATCTCTCAAGACAATCTTATTGCTCTGATCGTCGTCCTTCTTGCCATACCATCCTCCTTCTAGCCATCTTTTCCTTCTTTCTCGTCCTTCTTGCCATACCATCCTCGTCCTGTCCAATTCTCCTTGCCATCGTTCCATTTTCCATCCTCCTTGCCATCCCCCTTGCCATCGTCCTTCTCCCTTCCTTCTTGCCATTGTCCTTCTTGCCATTGTCCTTCTTGCCACCGTCCTTCTTGCTATTGTCCGTCTTCCTCATCCTTCTTGCCATATTGTCCTTCTTGCCATATTGTCCTTCTTGCCATCGTCCTTCTTCTAGCCATTGTCCTTCTTGCCATCCTTCTTGCAACTGTCCTTCTTGCCATCGTCCTTCTTGCCACGTCCTTCTTGCCATCGTCCTTCTTGTCATATTGTCCTTCTTCCTTGTCCTTCTTGCCATCGTTCTTCTAGCCATCGTCCTTCTTGCCATCGTCCTTCTTCCTTGTCCTTCTTGCCGTCCTCCTTGCCGTTGTCCTTCTTGCCATCCTCCTCTCCATCGCCTTTCCCCTTCTCGCCACCCTCCTTCCTTGCCTGCTTGCCGTGGTCCTTCCTCGTCCTTCTTCTTCCTCGTCCTTCTTGCCCCCTAACCCTTCTTCCTTGTCCTTCTTGTCATAGCCCTTCTTCTTCCTCGTTCTTCTTGCCATAGCCCTTCTTTCTCGTTCTTCTTGCCATCGCTCTTCTCCCTTTTCCTCCTTGAGACAGACAACTTGAAGGTTCTCGTCACAGTCCCTCTTCCTGCTCTTTTGGCCCACGTGATATGGCCCACGTGATTCGGCGCACGTGATTTGGCCCACGTGATTTGGCGCACGTGATTTGGCCCACGTGATTTGTATACAAGGTCGGGGGCCGTACCGTTTTGTCGTTTCTCACCATCCAAGCTGTGATCGTCAAGTGAGCTTGCGCTGAAAGTCCGCGGCATTCTCTTCCACGTCACCTCGTAGAGTCTCTCTCCCTCCCTCCCTCCCTCCCTCCCTCCCTCCCTGCCTCCCTGTTTTCCTCCGTTTCTTAGTTTCTTTTTTTGTCGTTTATTCCATCTTACTCGAACTGTTTTTTGTCGTTTCTTCAATCTTCTAGGAACTAGATTTTTTTTTTCCCTTTTTTTTTTTTCGAACTGGAAATTTGCTTCATGTGCATCACGTTCCTCTTTTGTGGTTCTCTCTTTGCGTCCCACATCAGATACCATGTGCAAGACGCTCCTCTGCAAAAGAAAAAAAAGTAAAAAAAAAAAAAGGACTTTCCTTGTCTCCTACTTCACACTCTACCACTACCGTCCCGTTCTTTTTTTTTTTTTTTTTTTTTTTTTGGGGGGGGGGGGGGGGGGGGGGGGGGGAGCAATCTCCAATCTATTGGTGGGGAGCATCACATGCTGGGAACGGGGCTGAGCGTATCTTCGCTGGAGTTTTTTTTTTTTTTTTTTTTAAGCTACAGAAAAATTTCAAGTACCGGGGCCATTACCCCGGGGCCGTGTCCCACTCGTCGAGGTTCAGTTCTGGTTTGGAGTATGCATGGCTCTGCGTTTTTTTTTTTTTTCTCTTTCTTTTCGAGAAAAAAACAGAAAGCTCATGTCACGAAGAAGAAGACCCAAAAATTTTGAATATCGTAGTCAAAGAAATTGGCGAACAATCACGGAAAAAAACAACAAAAAAGTACAAAAAAAAAGGCCTCAATTAGATCA